GAGCTGAGGAGAAAGATGGAGAGAGAGAGAGAGAGACTATTTACAAGGGATGGGGGGACAGGACAAGGGGGAATGGCTTCAAACTGCCAGAGGGCAGGGAGAGATGGGATATTGGGAAGGAATCCTTCCCTGGGAGGGTGAGGAGGCCCTGGCACAGGTTGCCCAGAGAAGCTGTGGCTGCCCCATCCCTGGAAGTGTCCAAGGCCAGGTTGGACAGGGCTTGGAGCAACCTGGGATAGAGGAAGGTGTCCTTGGAACAAGATCTCTGAGGTCCCTCCCAACCCAACCCATTCTGTGATTCTGTGATAATATATTTGGAGTTATGAAGAATCTCTGTGTGTGTCAGAGCCAAACCCTCCTGTCCCAGCAGCCAGTTGTAATTCAGATCAAGTTTTCCCAGCAGTGCCCCCCATCCCAGCCCTGTCTCTGAGGAGTGTCCTGAGCACAGACATTCCCAGGGACACCCTGGAGCTGCAGCCCAGAGCACACAGACTGAAGGGGGACCCCCATGGAATACCTGCCATGGGTTTTGGTGCTCTGTGCTGGAGGGTTGGGTCCCACAGGGTGCTTTGTGCTCCTGGCCTGTGCCCAGAAAAGCACTTATGGATGGAGACATTTGTGTTTCAGCTCATTTCACTGATACTGCTCACCCAAACACCTGACTGGGCCGGGGCCAGCATGCTCAGGAGTTGGCAGGATAAAACTTTTAAGGGAATAATTAATGGAAATTAGGAAGAACAAGATTTGTGGCTTAATAGCAGTGTTGTCTTCCGAGCTGGAGTGGAACAGAGGTGCAGGAAAAGGTGTGAACGTCGGAGCTGCTCCATGTGATGGACGGGAGAGGTTCCTCTGGGCAGACACACAGTTGTGTCCAAATGGTTTTACCTGCTCAGAGACCATGTCCTGGTCAGGGCTGGGATGGACCCTGTCAGCTGCAGGGTTGCTCTGCTGCTCTGCCTGGTGCTCAGCAGCACAAAGTGCCAGAGCTCGAGGAGTGTCTGGACGAGGCTCTCAGGCATGTGGTGGGGTTCTTGTGCTGTCCTGGGCAGGGCCAGGAGTTCTGCACTCTGATAGTCTTTGTGGGTCCCTTCCAGCTCAGGATATTCTCTGATTTTATGATTCCATGACCTGAAATGTTTTTTAAAGCTGGCTGGGAGGAGCTGTTTGCTCTGCACGTCGTGTTGTCCTCGAGTGCTCCAAGGGACTGGTGTGGTCATTGCTCTGCAGCCAGGCAGAGTCACTCTGCCATTAACTCAGCTATTAACAGCACAAATTAGGCACAGAAGGGTCACAGCCTGTGATTTCATCTGAAATATTAATGTGAACTTGTGTGCAAGTAGGAATCAGAGGCCCTCAGCTAATTTAAGTGAGTGTTTTCAAGGCAGTTCTGTTCATGAACCAGCTGCGGGGTGTTCCCTGAAGAAGAGGCAGGTTTGAGACAGTGCAGGTGGCACAGCCCATGTGCCAGAGCTGGAATGATGTCCCCATGGTGCTGACCTGGGCAGGATGGCTTGGGAAGGGTGAATGTCAAGGGCAGGTGCCCAGGCACTGGTTGAAGCACTGAAGTGCTCATTGAGCTTTGTTTTACTGACATCACTGGTGTTGTACTGAGCTCTTACTAAAAACTAACATGAAAATGAAGGCCAAGTTATTGGAAAAAGTGCTATTACCTGCCTACTGACCTCTGTGCAATTACTGGGCATTCTCTTCTCTTTCCAACTCGGAGTAGAAGTGTAAATACCTCTTTAAAATCAAGATTCTCAGAGGTGCAGCAGGGGCTGGTTCCACTCTGTCATCTTCTTTGCCTTCAGGGTTTGCTGAATGCATCAGGCCATGCCTATTGAAGTTTTGGTTGGGTTTTTTTTTTTCCTGAAATGACAGTTTATCTGAGCTCAGGGAATGAATGGATAACGTTACTATTTACATAAGCTCATTGTGATCTGTCTGGGTAATGTAATCAAATTAGGGTTAACTGCAGCTGCAGAATGCCAGCTTGTAAACTGTTTTTCAAAAAGAATCACATGGTGTTACTTGACATGTTTAGTATACATTCAGGGGGCTTTGCAAAAATTGTAGCACATCCCCAGCTGACGTAACTGAGTCGGGATTGTGTTGCCACCAATTCCCTGGATCCAGGGAAGGGAAGGAGCTGAAATCCATGGCCGGGGCAGATCCACCTCCAGCCCAGTCCTGCAGCACAGGCTGCTCTGACGTGGCTGCTGCTGACATGTTGTCTTTCCTTGGGCTAAAATCAACATATCAGTTGATAGAAAAAGCCTGTGGTGTAAATTCTGAGTGCATTTAGGACCATCTGGGTGAAGTGCAGGAGTGCAGCCCCCAGCACACGGCCAGCACTGTATTTAGTCTCACGGCGTTCGCACAAGACAAAGTCCAGCCTGAGCTAAAATTACCCAATGAGTAGATTTTCAAAGTGTCTTTTGTTATTCTTGTTAATAAACATCACATCTGGTCCTCGCTTTCCCTCCATCTCCCTTTCCCCTTCAGTGAGGAGGTGCCCTGTACATCCCACATTGCATCACCCCCTTCTCCTCATGCCCTGGAGAGGGATCTCCCAGGGTGTGCCAGGGTACTGTGGGACCCCTGAGCTGCTGTCTGACCACACAAGTGTTGTCACACACTGTTTGTCCCACACTGGGAATGCAGAAGAAGAATTCCGAGGTTTCCTCCACCCCCCAGGAAGGTTTCTGGGGGCTCAGTCAGAGCCCTGGCAGCTGCTGGGCAGCAGCAGGTTTGGGGTTCTGACCTCTGCCCCTACACAAACAACCCCCAATCCCAATCCCAACAGCATCCCAGTGTCAAACTGTCAGCCTGCTCTGCTGGCTGGGAATGGGACATTCAGGACATTCAGGACATTCAGGCTGTGGGCCACGTCCCAGCCAGGGCAGATGGTCTGTGGCAGAGCTCAGTCCCACACTGTTTCGTTTTTGACATCTTTTTTTAAATCAGGTGTAAAGAAAGGACAGAAAATATAATCTAAAGCCAGTTCTTAGCCTCCCACCACTGCTAAAATGCTTTTTCACACTCAGAATCATGGAATCCTCAAGGTTGGAAAAGGCCTTTAATACCCAGTTCAGCACAAGCACCGTGTTCAGCATTAAATGTCCATGTTCTGAGAGTTTGAGTGAGGAGAGGGTTCCATTGAAGCTGAAATTCTTCATGAAATCAGGGTTTGTTTCCCCAGAAGTTCTGTAATAGAAGAAAAGTCAAAAATCAGCCATTTTTGGATATTCCAGATGGGCAGTGGGATCAGCACCACTGAGGGTGGCTCTGCACAATTACTGTTTTTGAATAGGCACGAAATAATTTTTACAGGAATTGTGCTCTCTTAGAATTTTGAAATTTGGGATCTGCTATGAATTGAAAGGAAAAGGAAAAAAAGAAAACTACACTTTGAGGACCAGAACTTGCCCCTTGAGCGCAGCTCTGTCCAAACCAACAAAAGGAAGCTTGTATTGGCATCCAGATCCCGACTCAGGAATTCCTGACTCTTAAGCCTGTTTATACAGGACTCTACCACAGCCCAATTTGCACTTCATTTGAGTTTTCTTTCCCCTCCACGTTTATGGTCACGTTGAACGGGTGGATTAAGCATCTGAACAGCACAGATGTAACCAATTGTTATTTGAAGGGGTTTAGCAGATAATAATTGCACTTAAGTGTCTTCATTGGGAGGCAGCAGCGTCCCACCGAGGCTTTCCAGTCATTTAGCATCTGTATTCCATCTCTGGAAGCCTGGTGGCCTAATTCTCCAGAGGTTTTGGGGTTGCTGGTTCCTGGGGAGAGCCCGGGAGCGCCCTGGGGAGCACTCAGCATTCCTGGGGGACACTCCTGGCTGGGCAGGATGGATAGTTCAGGATGGCTGGTTCACTGCAGTGGTTCCCGGGGAGTTGTCAGTGTGTGGATGTGCACAGGGACAGGAACACACAGGTTTTTATGGCTCTGGGATTCACCTCTTGATCCCATTTGCTCTCAGCTGCTTTCGAAACCGCAGTTTCAGTGTCTGCGAGGGCTGAAGGAAAGCAGGGAATGGTTTAGGGTTCTTCCTTTCCTTTTCTCTCTGGTCCCTTCCTGTTCTCCTTCCTCTTTCCGTGTCCTTTCTCCTTTCCTTGCTGTGTTTAACCTCAGCCATCCCAGGCAGCCCCTGAGCCCCGGGAGCTGCTCCAATCCCCGCTCGCTCTGGTCCCTTCCCGGCGTGTTTACCCTGCTGGGGTATCCAGGGTGATGGAAAGTTGAGGTACTTGACCTCCCCAAAAGCCTGCTGACCTGGAGCTAATCTGAGGTGGAGCACAGCAGCGATTTAATGACTTGTTCCCCCACACCTCTGCTGGAGGGGGAATTAAGGAGCTCCCTGTGCAGCCGCCGGGAGCGCTGGGGGGGCCGGAGCATCCCGGGGGCTGTTCCTGCTCCAGGGACCCCATTCCAGAGAGCCCCTGGGCCCCATTCCCTTAGTGCCCATGTTCTGCACCCCTGCCAGCTGGGGAGGGAAGACATGCCAGCCAAGTGGAAGGGAATCATTTAGAGAAGCTACAGAAAACCTTCAAATATTGATCCTGACGGGTCCCTCCCACCTCAGTAAATTCTGACTCCATCATTCTACCATAGTTCTGGTGTCAGCCCCCACCCAGCTCCCCAAATGGCTGGGTTACTCTTCTGCAGCTGGGAGTTTTGGCCATTATTCTTTTTAAATACTATTAATAATTTATTGTTGTTGTTGTTTTGTTGTTGTTGTTATTGCATTATTATTGATAACATATTATTATTGATATTTTATACATCCATTATATTGATATATAATATAACTATTGTATTGATATATAATATATAACATTGATCTATATTGATAATTGATAATGTTGTTATTATTATCTTCATCATTACTATAATCATCATCATCACAACCACAGCAATCATCCCTGTTATCTTGTAACATTCTTAGTTGTCACTCAACTCTCTTTTGTTTCTCTTCTGTTTTTCCTCAGCAAATACTGACTGATCCCGAGGTGACCTCCCAAGAGGGCAATATAAAAAAGGTAGGATGTGGCTCAATCTTATGTGAAATGTTTTATTTCCTGGCTCTGAAACAGACCTGGACCTTTTTTCTCACATTTGTCCCAAAGTGTGTCTGTCGCAATAACGTCATAAAAGTTTTCCAGTATTTGCTGTTGCTGTTTTGGATTAAGTGTTGTGGTTCTACTGGCATATTCTGCTGTCTTTTTGTGATTCCAGTTATTATGAAAGAGAAAATAATAGTTTGAGGTGTTCCTTGACTCTGCTACAACATAAACAGCTGCTGGTCCAAATCGAAAAACCTCATTTACCTCTTTTCCAGTAAAAGAAAATGTTGGTCCTTTGTTAAAAGTGCTAAATTTTTGGAGGTCACTTCACCATGTATATGTGGCTTATGTGAAGTCCAAGGGAAAAGGAGTAGACATGTGAAAGGGTAAAATTTAACTCATGTGTTGTGTTACTGGTGCTTTTCATCACATTGTGGTGCTCAAACTCTAACAGTGACCAGAGAAAATGTGTTCCTTGGTCAGCCCAGCTGTATAAATGTCTTCACTGGAGCTCTGAGGCAGCCTCAGCACGACATATTTCAGTAGCCAGGCTACTATTCTGGTCAGGGTTATTCTCAGAAGCACTAAAATGAGATTTTTTTTCCATGTCTATCTGTTGGTTATTGGCTTCACTAATTAAAGTGTTGCGAGTTGTGTTTGATTGGAGCCTCTTGGATGCTGGAGCTGGTGTGTCCTCATTTAAATTAGGGGTTGCTTGTGATTCCTTTCCCATGCAGTTGTCTTATGAAGGATATTCACAGGCCTGTCTGTAAAGTTTTTGGAAGTGGGAAATATTTGAGATTGGGACTTGCCACAGCTGCCACTGCTGCTCCTGGAGCGTCGCTGCTGCTTCTTGACTCGGGAAGCTAAAAGCAAACTCCTGTTTCACTCTGCCAAACAAAGTGAAATGTAATACTTGTCAGGCTGCAGAGTTAGGTTGGGAGAAGGTATTCAGATGCGTGTCCAGTGTGGACTGTTCTATTCTTACCACGTACAAAAAAAGCAGGTTTTATTTTCGCCAGCCGGGCTCCCAATGGGGAACATCCTCTGACCACGCAGTGACCTCAGGAGGGACCTGTGGCAGCAGAGCTGAACTTTTTACCTTGGGCATCTCCATAACTCACGGGGTGTCTGTCTGTGCCTCTGTGGGATCCTTTTGTCTGGACAGACGTGGTGACAAGGTGGCAGGTTCTTATTATCCAACGCGCTTCTCACGAGGGTGGAGCGAAAACTCTGCTGGTTCTTGTGCAGCCTTTAATTCCAACATCACAAATGAATTCTCCATCCCCACCTCCAGAACGTGCCCTAAATAGAGCAGGAGTTGTGTGGAACAGGGTAGAAGGAAACAGGAGACTGGCACCTTTATATGTTCAATCCTTGGGTTTGTATTTAAACTTCGTTCCTTTTATTTCAAGGGAGACTGTTGCAAAAACTTTGTAAAATACCATGTCCCTAAATATCTTCCTGTACTGCAGGTATAAAATCAGACAATTTTGATATTTGACAAGGGGGGAAGGACTGGCCTTCCACTTGTGTCTTTTAAATGCATTGTAGAGAAGCACTAGTGGGTTTATGAGGTGATAAATTTATTGAAGGATGGGCAATAGGGTTTTACAGCTGGGGTAAAGGAGGTCAGAGCAGTAAGGTAAAGAGTTCAAGTCTAAACTTTATGGCTTGTGAAAAGACTACTGTGAGACAGCTTTTCAGTCAGAAGAAAATGAAAAATAAAGAATGAGAAATCATTCTGGACATTTTTTGTGGTATCTTAAAATTGTCTGGAAGGAGCACTCTGGCGTTTGGCTCCGGGGGTACAAAACCCTCCCGGGAGCAGATTCCCTCTCCCAGCCCCCCTGAATCATTCAGCTGTCATATCCCTGAAGACACAAGAGTTGAGATTTGACTTCAATTTATTCCTGATCCTTCAGAGATAGGTTGGTGGTGAGAAGGTGACTGAAGACAAATGTGACTGTGGTGGGTGGGCTGATTTAAACTGGAGCTGCAGAGACCATCACTGCAGTGGCTCCTTTGCTGTATCAGAATTGGGCACTAACAAGGACTAGAAAGAGAAATGAAAATCTGGAATGCAGAGGAAAAAATCTGTAAACCCAGGAAAAGGCAGGGAAGGGAAGGCGATGGCAGTGAGAGGGGTAGGAAGATGTGCAGGAAGGAATCTCTGCTTAAAAACTGATCCAGAATTATCTCTGCTGTTAAGTTGCTGGGGGGGGAAAAAAAGCTCTTTTATGTAACTATTCATGAACTGAAAGGCAGTGAGAAGTCTGAAGATGTAGCATAGCAGAGATTGTTATATGGCTCATTTTGGACTTGGAGCAAAAAAAAAAAAAGTATTTTCCCACTGTATCTGGTATTTTTCAGTTTCTATTCCTGTTATTTCTGCTGAGACCACTAACGCCACAAAGCTGATTTCTTTGTTAGTGGTTGTCTGACAGGAGTTAAGATTTCAATATTATCAAAGGACCCGTACCCAGGTTCATTTTCTGTATCTGTGCTGTCCCATGGACTAAAATGTGCTGTACTCCTGAAGAGTTTTCTCCTTGTGTCATCTGTGCTTGCTGATATTTAGTTTAACTTGGACAAATATACACGAGCTCCTCATCCTGATTGTTTAACTTTAAATAATCAATTGTGAAACCAATACAAAAACAGGAAATTCACTTATTTCAATGCCCTGAGTGCAGACACTCGGAGCTGTGCCCGAAACGAGTTATACCTGTAGGTATGTCATCCCCTGGTCCCAAATGCCTTTTTCCCAACCCATGTCCCTGCAGTCTGTTTATTTTGCTTAGAGAGCAGCTCCTGTGCTCTCTCCCTCTGAATTTTCTGAGCTTCATTTAATAAATTGGAGCAGCAGCTCGTTGTCATTGTTTTCAGCATCGTTGTCACTTGGGCTTTAACTCGGGGCTGAAAGATTCCCACTTCCTCTGGCAGGAAGGGAGACCAGTGTCCCTCACACATCCCAGCTTTGCAGCCGGTGTGTTTGTCTCTCCTCTAAGAGTCACTTTGGCTGAGGGTTGGAGAAGGCTGGGGAAGGATCTGTGTGTGCACAGAGCTCCCAGCCAGGCTCCTCTGGACAGGCTGTTTTTCTGACCGTGGTGACAAGGGACCTCAGGGACTTCTCTCTTCAGTAGACTCTCTATTTAGTTTCTGTTTACTTAGAGGGAATAGCCTGAGGGGCTACTGGAGAGAAAACATCTGTGGGAGATAATCTATAGAGTTATCTATCTATCACTCTTGTCGACCCTGTCTCCCTTGAGAGCAAGCTGAGAGACTTGTAATAAAAAGGCATTGCTGAAGAGGCTTTAGGGACAAATAAAGAGACATGTTAAGGGCCAGCTGAAAAAGGATAGAAGACATTATTAAAGCTCAATAGCCATCTTATCAAAATCCAATAGGATAGGCATTTGGCAAAAGGCTTTAAATTTATTCTTTGACTTTCTGGAGAGCTTGAATTTATCCATTAACAAGAATGTGCTGCACGGGGAGCGGGAGATGCTATCGGCTTCAAAAGGGTTGGATTCAATCTGGTATTGTGCAAAACACAACAAAAAACTGGAGACAAAACCAATTTTCCCCCCTACTTTGGCTGGCTTCGTTCCGACATTGCAAAATACTGGGAGCTGGGAGCGTGAGGCTGATGAGGCTGTAAAGTAAAAGTAATTTATGCGGCGCATTTATTCCGCGCTCACAAATCACGCGGATGTTTTTAAAAATAAAAGTTACCGCTAGAAAACTGGGCGAGATGATGAGAAATTTCGACCTCTTAGAAAGCACCAAGGAGTAAACAAAAAAAAAACCCCTCAGGTACGTGGAAAGCTTTTAGTCCTGAAACAAAAGTAAAAGGCGGCGAATGTTTTGCCGCTGCAGATGCGAAGCGGGGATGGGGCCATAAATCTCCCCGGGTTTATTATTATATCCAAAACGCTACAGGTCACAGGAACCATCTGATACTTGGGGAACACATTGTTCGCCCGAGATGATTGATTGATAATTATGATAATTTGCCAAATGATTATTTGGGTATTATGAGCGGGGTTTGCCCCGCTGGAGCGCTGTGAAGACATTTTCTATATCACGGGCCCGTCAGAAATGGCCTCTGGCAACGAGGGATGTGGAAAGGTCTGGCCGGGCTCTCCCGGCGGGATCTGTAGGGCTGATGAATGATGACCCAGAGGAGTAAGAAATCAGACTTCAATAAGCAGTCAGGAAGGTAGTTAGGGAAGAGCAAGGGAACTGTTAACTGTCTTTTGTGCAGCAATTACTGGCCGGGCCAGACCCCCTCGGGCCTGAGCTGGGGCTGTCAGCACGATGTACACCCACAGAGAGATCAAATTTGAGATTTTAGCTCGGGCTCTGCAAAGGGCCTGGGTCTGCAGCACAAAGCACACGTGCATTTCTGCAGTTAGCCTGGATTAGGAACATGTTTATTTTCTCTGGCTCGTGAGGGGGGTTCCGAACCTGTTAGTGAAGGTTTAAGCCCCTGAATTTCAGCGGCGTTTCTTCACCTTTTCCGCGTGTTGAAGAATCAACCCCCCGAGCTTTAAAACAATTTTCCTCCTCTCTGAGGATTTCCCGGAGCTGGAGGTTGATGATGCCCCACAACCCCACGTGATGGTGGATGGGGAACAACCCCCGTTATGGGATTTAAAGCCCCGTTTCCCCGTGGTCGCTGCCCCACAGCCACTATTTCAGAGAGAGCTTTCATTTGCTTGTTTTATAGGTTGTATCTTTATGAAATAAAGGTATATTTAGCAGCCACAAACAGAGGCAGCTTTGAGTTGATTTTTATAATCTTTTCCTGAATAGACTTGCGTCATTCCAATAAGCCCCGGACAAAAGAGTGGACAGTTGTCTGAGGGTCTTTTTTATAACATTTCTCTCTTTCTATTGTTAGAGAGCTGCTAATAAAAGAACCAGGAGTCCATTAATTCAGTGAATGAACATATAGTAAAGTCAGTTCC